TTTTTAATAAGAAGGATGCCCATCTCTTGATCGAAGGACTTTAAAAGTCTAAAACCTTAGATTTTTTTTAAAAAATTTGCGAAGCAAAAAAATATTTTCAACGTAGTTCCAAGTTTAAATAGTGACCTTTAAACAAAAATGTTCAAGGTCTTTGCTATAAAATTTTGGAACTCATTCCCAAGGATCTTTTTTTCGTGATTTTTAATAAAATTCCCAAAGCTGAAATATTTCAAAGGTCTTTGGAGGCTCTTAATGTTTTTTTTTTTTTTTTTTTTTAATTATTAAATTTTTTACTTAAAACGAAAACCAAAGGACCCCCAAAGATATTTCTTTTATTTTTAAAAAAGAACGATTTTTATAGAATTTCAAAATTTCAGTTAACATCACATCCGGAACTTGTTTGGTTATATTTTTCTTTAAAAAAAGTTCAAAGTTCAAGTTCATAAGGTGGAATTTTAATCAAAAATTACTTCCAAGCATAGTACCGTTTCTTAACTGTTATTTTTTAAAATCAAATGTTTCAAGGTTTTTCAAGCCATTTTGCTTTTCAATCGGATTTTTAATAGTGTTCAATTGCTTTAATTTTGAATTGTCCCATCAATAGGTTTAGGTTTTATTCCCTAATTTTTGTGTTTTGTTTGATGTTATTCACTTGTCTGTAACTTACCGGTATTGGCTTTCCCGAAGGATCTAAAGGCCTGTGAAACGCCGAACCGCCATGGGCCAACAATGATAGGGATGGCCGCCGGCATAAAGGGGGAAATCTTGCGGTCTGATGGGACTGTGAGGAGGCACTGGCTTTTTAATTCATCACCCAAATCCATGCCATGCATGCCCAAATGTTTGCTGATCCTCACAGCCGGGACTGATGGGGGGACTGGAACGATGCGATGATGTGGGAGATTCGGATCTGGAATACCAAGACAAAAAAAAATTCATTAAAGCAATTTAATTAATTTTCCTTGAGCTGTTATAATACGAAACACTTCATTTTAAAATTTAATTAAAAACACATTCCATTTCCTTCTACGAACACTTGAAATACTTATAACCGCACACAAGTATTGAGTACAAAGTCATCATTTAAAAGCAATTGTGATAAAAAATTGTTTATTGCAATATTTGTTATATTTTTTTTATTTTCTTTGGAGTTTTCAATTGCTGTTACATTTATCATTGTTGTATATGTCTTTGTTGTTTTTATTTTATACACATTGTTGCAATAAAACTCGTATACATTTTTGTCACAATCAGTGTTATTGTTAATGTATTTTTTTTTTTAATTTTTGTCCCACCCAACTGTGCACCTCCAAATATTTCATTATTTTTTTTTTTTTTTTTTTGCGAATTGAGTAATGTGTCTTAGTTTTCAAGTGACATTTAAGTTGTCTTTTCAATTATGGCATTTGTTGTTTTCTTTTATTTATTTTGAACAATTTTTAATGGCATAATTGACAGCGTTGGTCATCAATGGGTAACCCAATTTATATTTTGTGTTGCTTTTAAAAAATGTAGATTGTTTACCAAATGTCGTGAATTGTTATTGTTGTTATGAAATAATCTTCAGAGATGGATGACCTCAAAGCGGGGGAAAAGGAGTGGAACATAAAGTGAAAAAATTATGTCTTATTTATTGTCATGGAATAAGAATAAGTTGCGGAATTGTTTCTCCATTGCAATATGGGGTCAAAGTTAGCAAAACTAATTTCAACTTCATAAAGGACAATGGTTTAGACGGTGCTAAAATGCATAGCATTTACAAACATTTAATAATGAAAACCAGGAACTGGTATATAAAAATTACATTCCTGAATTCAATTAAGGACACCTAATATCCAACTTTATGTATATATTTTGATAAAACAGGCAGGCAAACATATTTTCTCCATGTGTTTTGCAAACATTTTAAAAATTTGGTTCTTTGTAGGTCTTACTTTCTAATTTTTAAATTTTTCTCGACGCTTAGTTGGGTTATTATTATTTTTTTTTTTTTGCATTTTCTCACAAACATTAAAAAATTATTACAAAAATCTACAAAAAAAAAAAAATCATTTCTTGTTTTAGAGCTGTGTGTGTTTAATATTTATAAATACTTTTAAAGATACAGAAGGGATTTAATAATAGTGGGTTTTTTAAGGATTTTAAAGCTGTTAAAGACACTTTTCAAAATCGGAGATTATAACAAGATTCTTCTCCGGAGATCTTAGTAGCAGTCTCTGATTTTGGGTACAATATTCAAAGAATTAATATTGTACTAAAACTAGAAAACTGCAGTTTTCCAGGAAAACATATCAAAAGTTTCCATTTTGAAGGGGAATCGGACCCCTAAGCGTAAGTTTTGGGTTAGAGTGGTATTTTCTAGAAACTTTTTGCACATTTTCTATAAAAAATAATATTTTGCTATGGTACTGCCACATCTGGCAAAGATATTAGATGCATACAATTTGTACCCAGTAGGAAATACTTTTTGAAAGAGATTTATGATTTTACAATAATGTCAATTTTCCAAGAAACCCAGCGGGAGGACTTTATCTAATTCTATTTTTTTTATTTTCCTTAAATATAAAACATTTCATAATATCTAATAGAATAGACATATATTACTGCCTTTTTACAAATGATATAGGGAACCCTTAGAATGTCTTACAGCTATAAATTGAGAAAAAAATCCTTCTAAAGGTTCTTTTGATACCTTCAGATTTTCGGATTGTTAGGTAAACAGCTCTAGCTTTATATCAACGAGGCATCCTTCGATTTCACTTATTTGTTTTTTCTCCTTAATATACCTTTTCTAACAAAAATGCGGTAATCTATGATGTTGGGATCCTCCTAACGCTGTAGACGGGAGCGTACATAGAAAGACATTTCGAAACCACTGGGAATGGGACCTAACTGGGCAATACACTTTTCCAAGAAAAATTTATTTCATTTCGAAGGAAACCTTCAATATAATATCTTGTATCTCCTATCCTCATTTTTAGTATGAACTGAATTGGCTTCTCTTTTGAGATATGCCCCATATAGGATATGAAATAATAATTTTACACCCTAAAAAGTATATATATTCTTGATCAGCGTATTCTAAGACGATTTAGCCCTATCTGTCTGTTGTAACCACGCTAGAATCAAAACGAATATAGATAGGATGTCGTATTTGATGATTTTCGCCAAATTTTTCAACTAAATTATCTGAAAATCCCCAAAAGGAGTTCCTTCTGAGTACTTTAACCCCTGGAAGAGTATTGTATATATAGTCCACGTCTTCGTATAGCCTCCATATAACGGTACCTCCAGAAAATTGTTTGTGCTATCCAGGTCTTCGTATAGATCCCATATATCAGTGCCTCCCTATATTCGGTATTTTCACGATTTTAGGTACTATATTCAACGACATTGTTTGAAAATTCGTATTTGAAGCTCCCAATACGTACTACAGCTGTGACGAAAAATTGTCTATGCTGGTCTTTATTTACTTTTTTTAAGGTTTCCAAATTCGTTCCAAATAATGATATTCCAAGTTCTGCCCGTTTTACTTGTTTATTTTTTTCAGCAAAAAATTTAAAATTTCTAGTAGAATTAGCTTCAATCTGACAGTTTGATTCTCGTTTGATAAGAATTTATCCTACAAAAAAGTGTTCAATAGCGGTTGATTTTTTTCACTTACGTTCCATATTGGAGTTTTGAGGTTGTAAAGGTTCTACCTTAATAGGAAACACAAATTACCATCAAAAATTCAGATTCATGATTTTCAATGGTATTTTAATTACAGCCGCATTTCCAAATGAATGAGCTGCTGTTCTAGTATTTTTAAAAGATGACGGTTTGCTATTTGCAATTAGATTTAATACTAACTTAGAAGGCCATCTGACCTGAGAGATATGTGTCAATATCTTTCATCGTTAAAAAAATTAAATCCCAGAAGAACCTGAAGGGCTCAACGATTCTAGTTTCATTCGCACCACTGAAAAATGTAGAATTTGGAACTATACGAAATATATAAAAAATCTAGTATTATTCCGCCTACCCAAATCTCAAGTTCATTTTAGTCACATGAGCATGTTTTGCTATAGGATTGAGACAAAATTCGTGTATTATATATTTTTTTGAAAGAGAAACTTTTAAGTCTTATTAATGTGGACCATTGCGACCAAAATAATTAATTTATCATAATAACAAAATACAAAAATGCTATACACATTAAAAAATGAAGTTTTTCCGCACGCTCTCTAGCTTTTGACCACATATTTTAACCTTAAATGGATGCTGAAACCACTTGGGGGATGGGTAAACGAAAAATATAAATACTTTCCTATACAATCTTTAAAAAGTTTCGATAAATTAGAAGCTGCTGACCTATACCTAGCTATGTCGATGCTATAAGCTACCTATGTTGACAATGTTTTGGGCTGAGAAAATAAATTGGCTATCCTAATATTCTTTAAAATACTCATATCTAACGATTAAAGGAATTTTTCTAGACACAAAAAGGTAAACTTTCTTTTGCCAAGCACTGAACTGAACTGAAAAACAGCTTAAATATCATAAAAGGGGTGGGTCAGTGGGTCATGTCATCTTTTGCATTATTTATCATTCAAAAACAGTCAAATGAGCTATTAAGACATGTCTTATGTTTATGACTTGTTACCCATCAAAACAAAAATGTGAACATTAAAGACATATATTTGGAAATGCATTCCTAATTTTCAATATGTTTATAAGTTTTTGGTAGATAGAATTGTACCAATATATCGAAAACTATACTTTAAAGGGAAATTTCAATTCTCCTCTCCCCATTTCCTAAAATTTTCCATTTCAAGAAAAACCAAAAAAAAAATATCCACATTCCAGCAAAACTCACCTTGACATACCGTCGGGAGACGGCGAATCGTATTCACGTGACTCGTGTATACGCTGCAATGCCTCCTGTTCGGACATACCGCCCGATGCCGCCGCCGCCGCGACTGCCGCAGCTGCTGACATTTCACGGGCATATTGAAGACTTGCGGCGGTAAGACGATCATCCAGGTGAGAATTTTTCATAGATTCCACTGATGCCGCTGCCGCCGAATTGTTGCGATTCATGAGTATTTTGATTTTTGGCCAGCAGGGCATCGATGCAAAATGATTTTTTCGGTTGCTGTGTTTGATGGATGACAGGCGGTGATATGGATGTGGTGGGTGAGGGAGGCGGAGGTGTCAGTTGTGAGTGGCCGTTGGGAGGCATTGGCGGTACGTGATTTGGGGAGCTATTTAACATAACAGCACCTAAAGGTAATCGTGCCATGGGATAGACACCATTACCAAAGCTGGAGGTGGTGGGGGATGGTGAACTAGATGTGTTTGCCGGTACTGGGGGCGGTATGCCACCTTCATAGATCCTTTGTGGTGGAAACGAAATTCGTTGATCTCTTAGATTGAGGGGAGATGTGGTGTTGTGGGCAAGCTGATGCATGTTGGCGTTGCTCAAGGGTACCGGCTGCACCAGTAAGGGCAAGGGTGCGGCGGTGTTGTTGTTGTTGAGTGATGTTTGTTGCTGAGCCTCTTCTTGGGGATTGTTACTGTGCGTTAGGGGTTTGGGGGAATTTGAATTGGAATTGGAATGGGCGGGTGGTGGTGTGGAGTTTGTCGAACGTTGAGGACTATGTTGCACTGATCTGGGGGATCGTGGCGACAATGTGGACCGGGTATTGGAATCGTGATGATAATCACTGTGTGATGGTGAGCTGCTTGTGAGATCAGATTGATGATTATGGATTTGCTGTTGATGATGTTGTTGTTGCTGCTGCTGCTGGGCCGCCGCTATGTGATTAAGGAACTGTGAAATATGTTGCTGTTGTTGTTGCTGCTGCTGTTGTTGATGTTGCTGCAATTGTTGCAGCGTTGGTGGCTGGGATACTTGAGCACTTGACATTATTTTTTTTTTCTTCTTTATATGAATATTTTTCCAATGTTTAGTATAGCTCACAACTTTTTAGAACACTTTTATTGTTATGCTTATTTTTATAGTCTTTTTGTATTTTTCTTTCTTAAAATTCTTTTATAATTATTTCCAAAATTTTATTCAAATTATATCTCTTTATCAATTATTTTTGTTATTTTCACTTCTTTATTATTTTGTTTTATTTTTTTCTTCTTATGGCGGAACTACATTTGCCGTACGTCCTTAACGTACAAACGCGTTTCAACGACTGTAAGAAAATAATCGACCGTTCTCAATCATATACCTCATGAAAAATACTTAACAACTACTACCCTGCCGTAAATTACACACAGACGTGCTCTTGCTCTTTTGCTCCACCACCATCCATCCACCATTCAGTCCAACAACCAATAAACACCACCCTTCTTTGTTACAGTGTGTTTTTCTTATTAGGTTCTCAATACAACACAAACAAAATACCACTCTCAGTTTATTCTGCTCTCATGCTCATTGAATAGACTTTGAATGGAATACTCTTTGTTTTGTTATAATCGACTTCTGTTTTTTTTTTCTTCACACTCCGTTACTCTCACACCAAACACCACATAAAAATGGAGTAGTTCTCCTTTCTGAATTCTCTCTCTCTTTCCATACTGCAAATTGGCTCTTATAATACAAAAGTGTGAAAGAGACAACCTGTTATATTGGCCAAACACTCAGGAGGCGTTACCTATTCTACTCTGTGTTGATGATGGCACATCGTTGCCATTGTTTTTCTTGTTGGTGTTGTTGCTGTTGTTATTATTGCCGTTAAATTTGTGGAGTAATTGTCAGACACAGCCATGATTAGTTTGAAATTGTTGGTAAATTGGAAAGGTGTGGCATTTGTTGGTCGTCAGAGCACTACAACCGAGCAATGTCATCATATACTTTGTAATGCTGGCGTAAATTCAACTCCCACCTCCACAACATCCATCAGAATTCATCTCCATTATTGTAGCAAAAATAAAACAACAACAACACTGAGTGCGAGCGTGTGTGTGTGTTAGTTAGTTGAAATGCAGTCACCATTTTAGCCTAAAATTGTTAGAAAAATGAGATATAATTACCATCATTATGGAGTGTTGCTGCTGCTGCTGCTACTTGCTACTTCCACCTCACCAATTGTCATGGCATTGGAACCTATTTTCTGACAAGTTAACGAATGAGAGTGAGTATATCGGATATACAACCTACATTCGTATGGTTGTAGGTTCAAAAAAATGTAATATAAAGTCAGTTTTATAGTCATTAAGCCGGTGAAATGGATGATGATGATGGTGACGAGTCAAAAGTTGAAGCAGTACAAATAGTAGTTGTCATAGACTGAGTCTAGGGGTTTATGAAGGTCTCTGTTGTTAGTGTTTTTACTTTGTTTCAGAACAGTTGTTGAATTGCAATGCAAGTTTAATGAATGTTGGAATTGTATATTCTTTGTTGATATTTGCATGGATAATGAAAAATAATTTTCTTAATTACGGGTTGGAACAAATGCTTAAGTTTTTGTGATTTGCAACTTTACTCTGGGCAGATACATAGGGAGGGTTTCGAGACTTTTTAACGCAGCTTTCTCTAATGCATCTTAATTTTTGGCAAATTATTTAAAGGTTATAGAAATATTTTTAAGTTGTGGAAATCTCAAATTATTGGTAATCTGTAATGTTTTGATTGGAAAGTAATTCATGGCATACCGTAACGCCAAAAGGCCAAATCTTGTTTGAAAAGGTTATTTATTTTTTGTTATTCTTTTTCCTTATAGTTTTAATTTCTACGAAAATTTATTGGTATGTTGAGAGAGAAAAAAACGTTTTATTTTCTGATCAATTTGGATTTAGGACAGAAATTTAATTATAAAAATAATAGGATAAGTGCTCCTAAGTCTCCAGTAGTTGGCATTATTTATATTTTAAATCAAATAATAAGAATTTTTATGACTAAATATGAAAATAAACTTGTATTAGCTTCGAAGATGTTATCCGGTGTCGATGTGTAAAATTTCTTTGAGAAAAAATTATTCTATTGAAATTTATATTTTTGTCAGCGAGGGAGAAGGGAATTTGTACCTTTGTTAAAATTAACAAATTCTCACCAGGTTTTTTTTTTTAATATTAAATATTACAAAAATATTATTGCAAAATATTTTCCTGATATCGCAAAACAAATTAAAAAATTTCCTAAAGTCGGCATGTACAGGATGAGATAAAAAAAAACTGCAACAAAGTTAAACGGTATAATTTTAACATTTTAAATTTTATTGAATGAAAGCAAAAAATGGCGGAAATAGCATCAAATTTTAGAATAAGTTTAGATTTGTTTGAATTGGTCATCTTTGGCACGAATTAAGGCCTTCAAACGGCCAATGTAACCGTCACACGTTGCCCGAATGTTATTCTACGATAATTTGGCATTTTTTAGTGCCAACCTTTCTTTCCAAAATACTCCAGACACAATAGTTCAACGAATTGGTATCCAAAGATTTTGGTGGCCATTGTGCGCTGGAAATGAAGCGAGGAACCCCATTTTATGAGGTCTGTTGGAATATCCAAGAGCTGCGGCCAAAATGTTTGAGTGCCCAAGGCTTTAATACACCCTCTAGAATATTTTCGCAATAACATTCGGCATTTATTCTGATGCCACAGTCGATTAATACGAGCGGAGAGCGACCATCGGCGGTTATGGCGGCCCACACCATCACCATGGCCGGCGCTTGAGTTGTAGTGGCCAACCGAAGGTGCTCATTTTCAGCTGACCTCTTTGGCAAATAAACACGATCATTTTGTTTGTTTACAAACTGCTTGACAACGAATGTTTTCTCATCTGAGAAAACAAAATTCGACATTTCACCACTTTCGGTCAAGTGAAGCAACTCTTTACCTCTTTGAGTCTATTTTCTTTCTGTAGCGGTATAAGTTCTTGTACTTTTTGGGATTTCAATGGATTTTCCCCGAGCTCATTTTTCAATATTTGCCGAATGGAATATTGCGATACATTCAGCTCATGAGCCATTTCTCGACCACTTCGACGCGGGTTTCGATCAAGTCGCTTCGTTAATTTTCGAACCATTCCTGCTTATGTTGCTGTTTTTCTTCCGTCCACTTCCTTGATGTCGAGCTACGCTACCAGTATCACGGTAACGAGCGATGGTACGAGCCACAAAAAATTTATTCAAATTTAAATGCTGGATAGCCACTTGGGGTTTTCCAGCCAAATATAACACTATCACGCTTGAATTCCATCACAAATAACTTTTTTTTTGTAAAATTCTCACAAAAATGCTGTTGTACGCTTGTAAACAATATAATGAAATAATTCTGGTTATTAATGTTGCCAAAATCATAAAAATACCGAATTTTTTGTCATAATGCCTATTACGAACTTTAAATATTAACTTTGAAATAATTCCGGTAAAAATATTTCTAAAATCCTCAAAACACCGAATATTGTGTTTTGGGGCTATATGAAAAGTGGACCTACATAACCCATTTACGAACTTAACCTACCTACTGGCAAAATACACATGTGTGAAACATTTTAGCCTTCGATCTCAATTCGTTCGAAAGATAGCGTGATTGCAACAGAGGGCATCGACTTGGAATTTTACGCTGATCGGGAATATATATATATATATATATATATATATATATATATATATATATATATATATATATATATATAATATATATATATATATATATATTATTAAATCTGACATATATATATATATATATATATATATATATATATATATATATTATTAAATCGAGGAGTACTCACTTTGACTTAAATTAAAGAAATCTTACGATGATACTGGCCTAAATTATTTAAAGATATTCATCATTTAATAAGATTCAGGATTCAGAATTGTGGACCCTAATATATTTCAAAAACACTGTGCTCCGTTTCTTATATCAAGTTTGAAGTTTTGTCAAACTGTGTTTTTTAAGTTTTGGAACTGTAAAAATTTCGACCGAGGTTATTATTAATTTATCTCAAAAATTATCTCGTTACCGAAAATCATGTATTTTAGATTTGATAACAGTGGATACTTTCTGATACACAGTCATTTGTCAGAGAAATATCGAAATGTCCACTCATGTATAAATAAACAGATAATCCAGTTCTGAAATTGCGTATAAAAACTTTCGCCCTTGATCTCCTGTCAATTACCTTTCAAAATTTCACATAATTTTCCCCATTTAATCTAATGTGAAAAAGTTCAAAAAAAAAAAGGTTCAAAATGAAACCAAAAGGAAAAATGGTTTTAAACATTTTCATTATTCTTAGCTATTGTCGAATTTTTTATTGTTGTAATTACGGTACACGGGTTGGTAATTGTTTTATGCTGTTTCGAACTT